ATGAAGTGCCTTAAAAATGTCTAAAACATCGCAAAAACACATTGCTCAACAAAAAATCCATGGTTGTCACTTGTAAAAATTTACCCAGATTTGATACTAAAGTAGTTGAACAAAATTTTACTGTACGAGGATAAAGTGACCATCTCTCGTTGGGACATTAAATCATCCTAACATAATTAGAACAAAAAGAAGACAACTCATACACAGTATACATTGAAGACAAAGTCGAAAGAAAACAAAGAAACAAGAAATATGGATCAAGCTTCACCAGTGAACAGTTAAAACAATGATTAACTTCATTACTGAAAGAAATAAAACAAAATGCAATTATTAACTCACATGTGGTTTGCTGTCAGTACTCTGCCACAACACAGTCCTCGGTCTCAGCGTGTTCTTCTAACAGCAGCAGCAGACGACCGCCGCCTACCGTACTTTTAGTAATAATATCCTCCTGTTTTATAAAAAAAAATATATATATATATATTAGCGACTAATGATAAATAATTCAGTTGTATTAATTAATACATCCAAATATTATATTCCTGTTCTCCTGTGTATGGAATAATGAAGTAGTTAACATTGTTTAATGGTTGAAAACTAACATTTAATATTAAAAGAATACATTACTTGACCACTGGAACGGGAGCCTTACGCTGCTTCACTCAGGTTATTAATAATGTTACAGTACAGTACGCCTGTATCTAAGATTCTTAGCAAATGAAATGGGAAAAAAATATATCAATATTATTGTAAATTTGTGTAAAACAAAGACCACTGTCCAGCCAGAGAAATATTGTGTTCATCCTCTTGTCAATGGCGATGTAGTACTGCTTATTGTTAAAGTTAACAGATGAGCTTGTAGTGGATTCCTCATAACCCCACAAGCTCCTGTTAACAGATCACTTACAGCTAACAGCAGGGGCGGATCCAGGGGGTCTGGACACCCCCTTTCATCAGATAATTCTTATACTTTTTCTTTAGTGCAGTATTGTACTCTGACATATTTATATAGTAAAAAGTAATTACTATTGACATAAGAATATCCCTTAATAGCAAGTGCACATGGCTTCAGAATGGCCTCAAAATGACCATGATATTGGTCAGATTTAAAAACAAATATTTTGGTGGCTTAGTGCACCCCCCCCCCATCACCAACTGGGTGGGCTCGCTGTGCTCGTCTTATTCCGCACCCACAACTTCTCCGACCCCCCTCTTCTAGTAGTCCTGAATCCGCCCCTGAGTTACAGATCTGGCAGGTAGTGATAAAAGGCCAGTAAACAGATCAGTGGTACATTTGGGAGTAGCGGGTCTACAGGCAGTTACAACCCTTATATATCAGGATTAATATAATGTCTCGTACAAGAAATATATTTACTGTAGTGTATACGATCGATAGAAACAACTGGACTACCAAGATACTGTACTGTACTGCTCCTAAAACATAAGGTAGTGTACAGTACAGTACGTATTGCTAGAGGCGCGCGCTGTAATTATCAAGAAATTCACTCTATACAATAATATTTCTTGTCCTGGACATTTCTTCATTTAGTTAGTTCATCCAGTGGCGCGCACTGTACTGTATACATCTGGCCGCGGCGAGATGGTGAACTGACTTTTTTTACTTTTTACTTTTATCCTCTTCGCCACTGATCGGCTCGTTAGCCGCTTGGGCGATCGGTCACGTCTCTGATTACTTTTCCTTTTCATTTATCCTCTTCGCCACTGATCGGCTCGATAGCCGCCCGGGCGATCGGTCACGTCTCTGTCACGCACTGTTGGCAAATACTGAGCATGCACCGGCTCCTGAATGTACCTGAACCCGCTCCAGTGTTGGTCAAGTCTTGTCTTGAAAGAGCTCACACTCGGTGCCGTCACAACACTCTCTGGTAGATTGTTCCAAGAGTTTACAACTCTCACTCCGAAAAAGTTTGCCCTCACAGTTTTCTGGACTTGCGGCTTCTTCAATCTTGAGCTGTGACCCCTTGTGGGGCGAGCGTCCGCCAGCTCCAAGTAAGGACACTCAACTGAGTAGTGCCCCCTGAGATGCTTATAAACCTCAACTAGGTCACCCCTTGCCCGTCCGTAATATAAACTAGGCAAGTTCAGACGCTCCAATCTCTCAGGGTAGCTGAGGTGCCGAAGTGCAGGCACCAGTCTGGTGCAGTAGGCATTAGAGTACTAATAAGTGATCAAAGTTATCATGGCCGGGAAACTGGAAAAACAGCATAAGTTCCTTAGAAAGAAGAAAATTAAAAAATGAAGTACTTTAGAAATCAATTTGACAATTTGTTGATTCAAAATAATAAACAAGGAAGAACGCAATAGGTGGAAAGATGAAGCTTGACCAACGTCCGATGATGGTTAATATTGGCGGAGGAGCGACCCTGATAATAATATACTGAGGTACAGTACACCTGTCCTGTTGATATAAAGAGAAGAGCGAGTTAGACAGCGAGCGGCAAAGACAGCTGGGAAGACATATCCCGGACACGGGAACAGTGAGAGACAGGGAGAAGGGAACAGGAAGAACAGCAGGAAGGAGTTCCCACCACAACCGTATCCCCCTGTGGCAGCATCCCGGGCGTGTGAACCATATGAAGGACAGGTACAGCAGGTGAGGCTGTGTCCGCACCCTCACTCTGACCCTGGCTTGTGTTGGTACAGTGCTGCTCGGCCTCCTACACGATACTCGACTCTACTTACACGATTTCCCACTGGGAACTTGCGTCTTCTGTGTTTTTATTGATAAATTGATTCTAATTCTTGTTTGAGATATGTTTTTAAGCTCTCATTAAGTGATATTGCGGGAACTGAAGCCAACAAAATCATGATCATTCCTTACTAATGACACTTCTTCCAACTAGGGTTTTGCATTTTATTTGTTTTTAAGGAAATGGTTATTATTACTTCTCATGTGATTTATACGTTCTTTAATTATTTGACCACGAGCCGATCAGTGGTGAAGATGAATAAAAATGAAGAACAAAGTTATGAAACAGCCTCACACAGGCAATGAAACACGGCGGCGCGGAAATTATTGGTGGAGGTCATGGATGGTGGGCGTTGTCGCGATGACATGGCTGCACCACTGCCAGTTTCCCCAGCCAGCTGAATCATAAGTGGCCGCCATTACAGTGTGCGGGGTGTGGAAACTACCATGAAAAATGCAGCCTCCGAGCTATTGCAAAATCCCGTATCAAGGTGCTTGTTGATACCTAACTTAACCAGATTCAAGTAATTTATGCTAATGAAACACTAATACTGTAATTGAATATTACCTAACGAATAAAATTTGACATAATTCAAGTATTATATGGTAACCAAGTCCCAATAGTGTACCTTAACCTGACATAGGTTAACATAATTAACAACCTAGCCCAAGCTACATGTAAAATAGTAACATGACCAAATCAATACGTAACATAACCCCAAAAGGCACAACTTAACCTACCCTAAACTGCTACATAACCTAAAGTAAACCAAACTAATTTTGAAAGGAATTACCATAAGATAACCTGACAATGTATAATAACGGTGCAGGAGACAACAGTATACGTGTGTGTGTGTGTGTGTGTGTGTGTGTGTGTGTTGTACACTCAGGGGCGGATCCGGGAATATCAAAAGGGGGGTCAAAGAGGTTGTGGGTGGGGGAACATGGTGAGATCAGCTAGTCCAACCAGCATTTTGAGGCCATTTTGAAGTCGCGTGCACTTGACATTAGGAGATATTCTGATCTCATTAGTAATTCTTTTTTACTATATAAAAATGCCTGAGTGCATTATTGCATTAAAGAAAAAGTATTGGAATCTTCTGATGAAAAGTGGGGTCTGGACCCCCAGGACCCGCCCTTGTACACCCTATACACGTACTGTAGTGAGGTGAATATTGACTATGTGTATATAAAGTAATAATATGAGTCTAGGTCACATGATATCCGGGAATGATATAGAACAACAACTACCTGTAAAATTAGTATCTTATATACAACTTTCCTAAGTAAGGGTGTCCATGTAACTCTACAATACGTGATACTCCAACACCTTTATAGGTACAGTATTAAACTCTCGCAATGGTATCATCGTTTTCCCTCACACACACTTGTATTTCTTTTGCCTGTCTTTTTTTAGATTTACTTCATCACCACCACTCCATTTTAAGTGTACAGTACAGCAAGCCTTGCTGTATTATCCTCACTACCCCTATTTTTTATCAGTCATCGCTGCCTACACTTGTCTTGTCCAGTAATTATTTCACATAAAGGTTCCTTAATCTCATCTGACGTCATATCTTTCAAAAGGCTTAATTAAGCAACTAGGTATTATGTATCGCTCTTCATATCTCAACTGTACTTCGGTGTATTAATTAAGAACCGTTAGTCACAGACTTTTAATTCTTATGGTCAATTAAAACCTTACACTTGTATTTTTATGGTTCACTTGTTGATGTTTAATGCAGTAGCCCCCTCCTGGGTGTAGTTAACAGTCATGGTACAGTAGCCCCCTCCTGGGTGTAGTTGACAGTCATGGTACAGTAGCCCCCTCCTGGGTGTAGTTGACAGTCATGGTACAGTAGCCCCCTCCTGGGTGTAGCTGACAGCCATGGTACAGTAGCCCCCTTCTGGGTGCAGCTGACAGCCATGGTACAGTAGCCCCCTTCTGGATGCAGCTGACAGTCGTAGTACAGTAGCCCCCTCCCGGGGTAGCTGATAGCAATAGTCCCTTGCTATGGGTGACGGTCATGGTAGGGTAGACAGAAAGCGGAAGTCAGAGTCGTGGGCGTGGGTTGGGAGGCGGGAGGTGATGCGCCCCAGTGGCTAGCCAACACATCGGATCTTTTATATGTCTCTATGTTAGATATACTTTATGTACTCATACTCGAAGAATATTTAATCCTATACATTCCCATAATCAATATATTGCCAATAAAGGGATGTAGATGGAGTTGTAGGTAAGAGTTCAGAGGGTCCAGGTGCCCCCATACATTCTCTTCTGGGAGTTGGCAACGTTTGCGTGTAGTGCGGTGTGGTGGTAGTCAGTCTGGGTGAAACTGTGAGCGTTGAGGCAGCTGTGTGGCGGTGCTCTCTATCACAACCACTACTGGACAACTACCACAACTTTCTCACTGTCAGTACCTCTTGTAATATTGTGACAAATACTTAAATTAGTACTAAATTCCGTATTCTTTGCGATAACAGTCAGTCCAGGTCATGTTACCATGCATTATGAAGTTGCAGTGGCAACGTAACAGTGAATAACCACATCTTGATGGACACCATGCTAGTGGTGCAGGAGCAACACTTCACCATTGTGTAGTGATAGTGAAACCCTCCTTCCCCCCTCACTGTTATGGATGACCGACTTCAACTGGGTTTTGTTGCCAGGGGAAATATCTCCTTATCTTCCCTGACAAAGATGTCAAATGTTACATCTCGGACACAGAGGCCGTTGGCAGTTCTAAGGGACTATTTATGAGAGATGTTATTATAATTTTATACCATGTATATTTAGTTGAGGATGTTAAGATGACAGCCTCTCGGAACGTAAAAATGATGAGAAAACCAAGAGAACAATTTAGTAACAGTTAAAAAAAAAGACAATGTCAATTAATATACAGTATTGTGGAAAAAAAGATAAGTGAAAGTGAGTTGTGGATAACTTTTAACTACAATACTAAATATAACGCATGGGAGAGACGTACAGCGTTAAGGTCTCCTTGACAAAATGGAATGGGTAATGTTAAAACGACTATAATAAAATAAGTGAGTGACAGCTAGGCTTAACGCAATCTTTAGAAAAGTAAGACCCTTTGAGTGTATAGAGGCACTGTGGAAGTGTTAAAGATGAGAGCTGGAAAAGTGATTTAGAACTAGTGACAAGAACTTACAAGATATAACTGACAGGTACGAGTACTAAAAGGAAGAGGAAGAAGACTGTATTGTGACATTGCTGGCCGTCAGCACTAGGGTCATTACAGCCGTAAATGATGAGAATAACAGTAAATCTTGTACAGAAATGAGAAAGTATAAGGTAGTCAGTCATTGGATATTGTAGGCTCTGGTGTCCCGGGAAACATGACGAGGTATGCCAATGAAGCAAGAGTATGCGTGGATCAGGTGAAAACCGCCCACACATTGGAAAGAATTTGACGGTGACATTTATGGCTCTGGTAAATGCATCTGATACAGTGCTGTCGGGGTAAAAGTGGTGTGTGAAGTACTGAAGAGTTGGTATATTGTTCAATGAAACATAGGATCACCTGAAGATTAGACCCTCAGCATATTTTATCTAGAGATTTAACATCCTAACACTAACTTCACCTAACCTAACCAAACCTCCCCCTATATACAGTAACGTTAGGGTGTTTAATCATCAGGTAAAATAAGCTGGGGGCTAATCTTCAGGTGAGGAGTGAGGGGGAAACTTTTATCAATAAGAACAGGACATGGCAGAATGTGTAACGTTGCCATGACTGTTCAGTAATTTCATGGATGAGTAATAGGAGTTGAAAGTAAGAGTAATGGAGAGATGCAAGTCTTGTAAACAGTTATACTGGGGACAGGGTGAGTCAGCAAGCGACAACCATGATGAGTGATTCTGAAGACAAGTGTCAATGTATAGGGGGTGAACTTAAATGAGTCGGCTGTAAGAGAGAGTTGGTAGTGGATGTGATGGAAATGAACTGATTAAAATACGAGAAGGGGACAGGGATTAAAATAACGTTATTGTGATGAGACAGGAGGGAGGCCAAATTGTACCAGTGTGCGCTGGTACTGGATGTGTAGCAGGAGATAAGACAATAAATGTATTGAGAGAAGAAAACTACCAGGAAAGCCAGAGGGAATATACACGGGATTTATTAAGCCAACATTATTATAGTGAGAAACATGAAAGATGTTGATGCAGATCAGTGACAAAAGGCGCCCTTGACAACAATATGGGTGACTTAGATGATAGATCTGAAAGTAACACAAGTATGGCAGCTGTCCAGTGAATGGTTGGTACTTGTACAGTATTATGGTGTTTGTGGTTGTAAATAACTGGTTGGTAAATGTTTAACGTATATATATATATATATATATATATATATATATATATATATATATATATATATATATATATATATATATATATATATATATATATACACTTTTACAAGTAAATATCATCTTAATACATTTCCTTTCTAGAGCACATATTATGACGTCATTCTTCAGTTCGCGTGTGACAACTGAGATCAGACCAAGATGTTATTGCGTTGTAGCTACTGCGAACTGTTCCTTCCATAGTTCTGGTTCTATAATGCGAGGGTTCATTAGTGCGATGGTCAAAACTGACCTGACCTTAGGACTAATGAATACTTAAGTCCCAGTCCCACTAACGGTATATATACCCAGAATCTTACCTACGCCATTCCCCAGTAATTGTAAAGAGTGACTAAAGGTGTTCATTGTAAAGCGTTTTCGATTTACGGAATAGTTAACGCGTTAGCTATTCTGTATGCACAGATGCTGCTTTTGATCTGTGCGTATGGAACATTCAAAGGGAAGAGCCAAAGCGTTTATTGTAAGGCGTTTTGAGAAGCACGGAATTGCTAACGCGTTAGCTTTCCTGGACCGCCATTAAAAAATACATTGTACTGTGTCTTGGGAATAACTTGTGCAACAGTTCAGAAAACAATAAAATTAGGAGAACTGTTATTTGGACACAATGCAGAAAGAAATAGTGAAGAAAATATATAGAAAATTATGGAATGAAAGACAAAAAAAGAAAAAAAGTAAATAAGTCAACGCATCTCTTAGCTTCAATAGTCACGTTTAAGGTGGTGCCTGTGTAATTAATTCGCACTCATAATTTGAAGAATATGTTAATATCGTCGAATCCTGTGAGAGTTATCAAGAGACCCGCTTAGCCATCTGCTGTTTACCTCCCTCGATTTCTTCCTGGTTAGTACGGTGTCCGTGTCAACCTCGTTTTTCGATATCTCTGTACTTGATTTACTTGATATCTAAGTAGAAAAATAACTGTATGCTTATCTTACTGTGTCAGCTGCTGATATATTCATAAAATAAGAACAAGTGTGATCGATGTACCGGTGGTCAGTCTGTGCCATTAGGCTGTGCATACACTTAAGGTACGGTAGAGACAAAATGTTTATGTATCGCCTTGTATTAAGTTAAAGGTGAGGATAAGACAGCTTAAGATAGTTTAGTTTAAATAGGTTTAGTGTGGCCAGCTTGGATATTTTTGGGTAGGTTAGCTTGGATATTTTTGTTTAGGTTAGTTTGGCTAGATGGGAGGTTTAGATAGCTTAGTTTAGATATATAGGTATATTTAGCTAGCCCAGGCTAGGTTTAACTTGGTTCTGTATGTGATAAACTGAGTACAGGTCAGTACATACGAGTATAGTTTTCCTGCACAAAATTTACCAGGTATTACAAGTGGTCCCTTCCTTGTTGTGGCGAGGACTGGGCTGAGTTGAGTCAAGGCGCGCACGGAGTTTATTTTGCAACAATTAAAGTGTTAACTTGAATTTCATAGGTATTTAATGTTTAATGTGCTTCATATATTATAATATTGTTTTCCGCTGTACAGTGATTATATCATTAAATATTACAGCAACAGTATGTGGCAGTTCTTCAGTGTTCCATAACTGTTAAATATTCCCAAGAGGTGAGTTTCTAATGTGCCAAGTAAGGCCAAAAGCCATATTCTATAATTATATGCGCCAACTACAGTACAGTAGTCCCCAGAGTCATCTGTTCTCAAAAGCAGCGTTGTTCGACACGACAGTTATTATCCAAAGCTGAGTTTTCTACGCATCAGATATTTCTAGGATGGTTTTTTTCACGTGCCAAATAACCCCAGTACAGTATGCACTGCCATACTATTATATTTTCCTTCTAAGAGAATTAATTCCATTTAAGCGAAATAGTCCGCGGAATCGCCTTTACAAGATCTTGATGTAAAAATAGCATAAGTGTTTGTGTGTCACGTTACAGCTTAATATTGAGTAAAATGTACTTGTTTGCTGCTGCTGGATGCTGTGGTAATATTGTTGAGTCACTTTTTGTAGCAACGCTTTTGTGTTGGTAATAATAGTACCCCGCCCCTCACCACCTGACAACCATGGACAATATCCTCCAAATAACTTTCCCTCTGGACAAAATTCCGCCTAATAACTTGACGGCAGGACAAATTTTACCACATACGAATTAATTTTCAGTATGTTAACACAATAAAAACAAAATGTTATCCCAATTTAGTAAGAACTTCAGTTGCTCCTTAAGGTTTAAAAGACGGTTATCTCTTAGCGTCACACACACACAAACCAATATAGGTCATCTTAGTCTATTAACCACCACATAACTGATATCATCGGTCGGTATATTTTAAACTATTTTCTTTGACCAAGTCGACACACGAGGCTTTCCGGGAAAATACAAGAGCTGTTACTGTCTTATCTAGCTTTATATTTACCCGAAAATATATTGTTCCTTGGCATATTATTATAAACGCTTGTATTGTCACTAGTACGGTATGTAATCATCTTGTGATATCTTTAGCTTTAACTGGTAATAAAGACCTTTATGTACCATAACGAACTGTAATACCTGATACAGTTGTCACTTCATGACAAACAACATCAACCTCCTTATAGCGAACAGCTCAACTTATGTAATGTAAATTTCTGGCCACGCTTCACTTACTTTACTATCTTAACACGACCACTTGCTGACACCAACCACCTGACATGGTCGCTGTACTGGGAGAGAGAGGAGTATAAATATCGTAGTATCCACCAAACCGTGTGTGTACGTGCTGGTATTGTGGTGAACACGGTGGTGGTGGAGGATGGGGGAAGTGGTGGTGGTAGTTGGGGAGACGAAAGCGGTGGTGAGGGGGAGATGATGGTGGTGAAAGGGGAGATAGTGGTGGTGGAGGATGGGGGAAGTGGTGGTGACTGGTGAGGGAGGTAGTCAGGATAAAGCATTAGGAGAGGGATAGAATGGGGGAGAGCCGCAGTGAGAAAAGAGTTCTGGGGCATGGCAACAGGGCGACTGGTGTAGGTAGCGCTATCTTTATTCAGGGTTGGTTGTACATTACTACTGTTTCTTTTACAACAA